AAAAAAAAAAAAAAAAAAAAAATTGCCCAATTAATTTTGAGAAATAAAAATGGAAAGCTCAATTGCCCAATTTTTTTTTAACGGGTAATCGGTTCGGTTCGGTTTACCATAGCTAAATACGATACCCGCCCTTAAATGAAGCGGTTCATTAAAATCAAAACCATAACCGCCCCATTGCACCATCGGTTCCTTTTTTTCACCCCATTCGGTTTGGTTAACCGCGGTTTTCGATTTTCACAGTTCGAATTGCCATCCCTAATTTCTCTTAAATTAAATTAATATATTCACCCCTATCCCCGAATCGGTATTTCACTGAAACCTTATCATCTCCATTCCCTCTCCACATATTCCCATTTTTCTCTATCTCCTTCCATTCTTTCTCCACCAGCGCTACACCGCAGTGGAGAAAACCGCCGAGCGTAGCGGCAAAGAGCGTCACTACGCGAGGCGTGAGAGCATGCAGCGGCACAGCGTTCATCTCCACTGGCAGGGTTTGATGCTCGTTGCCCAGTGCAAGGAGAAATTTGGTGGTGGAGATTTAGGGATTTCCATAAGAGGAGGCTAATGTGCTATAAATGAGGATTTTGATGTGGAAATGGGCCGAGGTGATGAAGTGGTGGTGGCAACGGGTAGTTCTGGTCCTTTCCGGGCTTCGACGAATCAAGAACAACTTGTAGATCTAGTATTCGATACATTCTCGCCATGGCCGTGACATTGAGGTTGTGCATCGCAGTACTGTCACATCTATTTTCTATTTTTTTCTTCATTTTTATTTTTGCCTTTGTTTGGATTTTATGTAGAGGTGGCGGTGGATTGGTCGGTGGTTGTGGATTGAGGTAGAGGTGGTGGTGATGATGGTGGTTGTGGTACAGGTGGTGGCATTGGTGATGCGTCTGGTGCTGGTTTGTTGCACATGCAGTGATGGTGGTGGTGTGTTGCAGGTGGTGAAGGCGATAGTGGGGGATGGGCGGGAAGAAGAGTGCTTGTGACCAATTGTATGATTGATTGTGACTAATAAATTGGTTATTTGTGACCAACATGCTAAACAAATAATATGTTATCGATGAAATAGATAATTTGTGATCAGTAAATAATATGACCTAAAGAAATGTGAAATTCGATTAATTTTGTAATTTTGACTCACAATTTGTTAAGTTGTGATCAATTAATTTAATAATTTGTAATCGAGAAATAACTGTGATCAATTAATTTGATAATTTGTGATCAAAAAATAGTGCATAATGTTGCGTTTTTTGTATCGTAAGTGTACGATATCGTAACAAGTATTATAGTGAACCCTTGAGTCCGGATATCGTTAACACGAAAACTGTACTTTATGACTTAATCTAATTTTTCTAACTCTTATTTGACAAAAGTAAGTAAATAATTATGATGGTTGTAATTATTTTT